ATTTTAAAAAATAAAGAGGATAAGAAAATGATGGAAACCTTGAATGAACAATAATAGGAAAGAAATAGAATGCATAAAACAGGCTCAAAGAGATACCTAGAAAATCAAAAATTTCATTGAAAGCTGGCAAAACCACCTAAATGAAACTGAAGATAGACTTTTAGACATTGAAGACAGGACCATGGCTAGCAATTACAAGAGGAAGATCTCTTAAACATAACAAGGGATCATGAAGTGGGAATTCAACAGCTCCAAGATGATGCAGAGAGAAACAATGTAAGTCTGATAGGGTGTCAATAAGAAGCAGGAGTCAACACAAATAATATATAAAAAACTATTTGCAGACTAATAGAAAATTTCTCAAGCATGAAACAGAATCTGACATACAGAGGAGTGAGGCATATAGAACTCCACCCAGCCATAACCAAAATAAATCTACCCCCAGAAATATACTAATCAAGATTCCCAGAATTCATCACAAAAATAGAATATTAAAAGCTGTTAGAGAAAACAAACAAATCACCTATTAAGGAAATTACATTAGAATCATAGCCAACTTCTCTACACAAACCCTGAAGTCAATAAGAGCTTGTAGCATTTCAAGTCCTGAAAGAAAACAACTTCCAACCCAGACTGATGGATCCTGGAAAACTATCAAAATTAATGGAGAAATAAGATACTTCTATGACAAAGAACACCTGAAGAAACTCATGACCACCAAAGCAACCTTACAAAAGTACTGAAAGGTATTCGAGCTAGAGATAAAAATTCCAAGAAAATCATCAAAACAAAATCATAAGGAATGGTAAGCAAATAAACAAAGGAGGAAACCAGGGAACCAACAACAGGGAAATATCATTATAAACATAAATCAGTGCATGAATCAGTTATAACTATCAGTGTAAATGACTTCAGTTCCTCAATCAAACGAAATGGATTGGCAGAACTGATGAAGAAACAAGATCCAACAATATGCTGTGCACAAGAAACTCATTTAACTGTAAAAGAAACTCACACACTGAAAGTCAAAGAATGGAAAACAACCTTCCATGCAACAGGAACCCAGAAAAAAGCAGAAGTAGCTATTCTATTTGCAAGCAATGTAAACTTCAAACCAAAATGACTGAAAAAGATAAAGTCACTACATACTTGTTAGGGGAAAAATTCAAGAAGAGATAACAATCATAAATATACATGCAAATCACCAAATATGGGAGCATTCAACTATATAAGACATATTAATAGACATTAAAAAAATCAATAACACAGCTGTAACAGGGGAACTGGATACATCATTGTTGAACAGATTAGAAGATGCAGAAACAACTGCAGACACACCAAGTCACCTGATCTTTGACAAAGGTGCCAAACACATTTACTGGAAGAAAGATAGCCTCTTTAATAAATGGTGCTGGAAAAACTGGCTCTACTCATGCCAAAGATTAAAACTAGACCCATGTTTTTCACCATATACTAAGCTAAAATCAGAAAGGATCACAGATCTTAATACTAAAACAGAAACATTAAATCAGCTGGAAGAAAGAGTAGGTAAAACTCTTGAAGACATTGGTGTATGAACAAAACCCAGATTGCACAAAGAATCAACAACTGGGATCTCACCCTACTGAAAAGCTTTTGCACAACAGAAGAAACCACCAATAGAGTGAAGAGGAGAAAATGTTTACCAACTGTTTCTCCTATAAAGGGTTACTACAGAGAACATATAAAGAACTCAAAAAATCAATCCTCCCAGATTTAAAGACCCAGTTCAAAAATGGGCACCTGAGATGAACACACACTTCTCAGATGAAGAAATAAGAATGGTTTGTGCATTCATTGTTTGATCATTTTTTTTCATGTCTATGTCTTGTAATTCAAGCAGTTTCTTTGAAGACAACAATATGTAGTGGGAGATCCAGAGAAGAAGCCATGCCCTCTGGTAAGCCAGCTGCTACAGGCCCTAGAGGAATGCCCCCCACCCTGTGGGACACCAGCCACCGGCCCCAAAGAGCAGCAGCTACATCCCCTGATGAGCCAGCTGCTGCAGGCTTGGAGAAGAAACCAAATCCCACCATAAGCCAGCAGCCACAGGCCCAGAGGAGAAGCCATAATCCCCCATGAGCCCACCCAAAACAATTTCAAGAGACTAGACACAAAAGAAGTTAGAGGTCACATGCCTGAGGTTTCTGAAATGATGGCAGCTGAGGTGGGGGAACACCTTGGTGCTTATTTCATTTGATTAATTTCACATGCCTGTATTTTACCCAGAACAAGTCTGATGGACATAGACATAGAAGAGGTTGGAGGCCACATACCTGAAATTTCTGAGATGGAGGCAACTGAAGTAGACAACTGGGGGCTTGAATTGTTTGATTAATTTTGCATGCCTGTGCCTGGTGGTCAGAGCAACTATTTGGAGAATGGCAGTGTGTAGTTTAGTAACTATTGTTGATTCCCTATTGTCTTGTTTTTGAAATTCAGGATTGTTCTTATTGCATAGTTTTGGTTTTATTCTCTTTAAGATAAAAATTTTAAAAATATGCAATATATTAACTATCGTTAATCTATTATTTTGTTTTGAAATTCTGTACCATCATTTTTATTTTAAAATAAAAAACTATTTGGAATCTATATGACAAAAGGTACATAACGATTGTATCAGTGTAAAAGCTCTTAATAGGAATTCAGTTAATAAATGAACTAAGGTATAAATAAACCTAGTTCACAAATGTGGAAATAAAATAATAAACAAAATATCCAGACATCTAGTTGTCAGAAAAGTGTAAACTATTAGATTTCCCTTTTATTACATTTTAAAATTACAAACATATATAGTAAGCAGAAGAATGCACATTTAACAACAAAGTATATCTTAAAATTTTAATTTAAAATATATATTATTTTGGAAAGTAATTTAGAATATCATGTAGTAACAAAGCTGCCCATCAACCTGGAAATGGTTGAAGAAATTATAATCCAGAGCAAGGGATGTGCAAGCATGGGTGGAAGGGTGAGATGTTCAGCTAGATAACACATTCTTATTAAAATAGGAAGGCAGGGTGACAACAGAATAAAATGTAAGGAAAAATTGCTGGGTACAAAGCCATCTATTTCAAGTATGTAAGAAAGACCAGGTGTGACGGTACATGCTTGTAATCCCAGCACTCAAGAGGCTGAGGCAAGAGGATGGCCACAAGTTTGAGGTCAGCCTGGACTATACATAGTGAGTTCAAGGCTAGCCCAAACTACATAGTGAGACCCTGTCTCAGAAAAACCAGGAAAAAACAAACAAAAAACTCTCAAACACTTCACATATATACCAGAATAAAACAAATCATTCACAAAAGAACCATCAAAATCACAATAATGGCACATGAGCAGTTTGTGTTTCAAGTGACTCTTTCCCCTTTTTGTTTTTCAAACATCCTGAAATGTGGTATGCTGCTTTTGTTCTGAATCTGAGTTTAGGAGCAATTGGGGATAATTAGGAGGCAGGGTGCATGTCCTGCAAGGCCCTAAGTTTAAAGTTCAGCAAAAAAAAAAAAAACAAAAAACAAAACCCAAAATCAAACAAAAAGGACTTTTTGAAGGAAACTTGGTTTAATATTTTAAAAGGCAGGTTAAACTGAGAAGTTTTAAAATTGTAATACATAGAGCCAGTTCTGGATGAAATAACTTTTAATCTCTCTCTCTCTTTTTTGTCTTTTTCCTTTTTATCGGTACCGGGGATCGAACTCACAACTTCCTGCTTTGCAAGGCAGGCGCTTATGCCGCTGAGCTAAATCTCCGGCCCACAATCTCTCCTCTTTTGCAGTTTCCTCCAAGGCTTCACTAAGGACTGACTTTGCCCATTTCTTTTTTTTTTTTTTTTTTTCCTTTTTATCAGTACCGGGGATCGAACTCACGACTGCCTGCTTGCAAGGCAGGTGCTTATGCCGCTGAACTAAATCCCCAGCCCCTGATTTGCCCATTTCTAAGAGGAGGCTCTAAGGACGGGGTGCTTGTCCACACCAGCAATCTCACTGGGAGACTTGGAGAGTGAGGGAGGAGGTTCCAAGCCCAGCCTGGCCAACTTAGTGAGACCCTGTCTCAAAATAAAACTTAAGAAGTAGTTCAGTGTGAAGATTCTGAGTTCAATCCCCATTTTAAAAAATGAAAGCGGTTGTCTTCTTCAGGCCTTGGGAGTTTCACTCCTGACAGGACCCAAACTTATTCACACTAAAGTGAACTGCTCATTAGTGCATGTGTGGTTCTCCTGAAATTTGAGCCTTAATCAGTAACCGTAAGGTGAGATTCCAGGGCTCATTCAGGCAGTGAAGGAGGTGCGTCCCAGGATCACCAACAGGTGGTCAAACTACCATGGCAAAACTCAAGCCATGGTTATCAACGCTAATAATTTGTAGATTAATAACAAAATGGTAAGAAACGGTAAAATATAACGTTTTACAAAGTAAAGCTGGAAAGTCTTCGAAAGCAATGGTGCTTGGCTCTCTCAATATCCCTAACTCGGCAGTCATTGCGAGGCTCCGGTTTTTTTTTTTTTTGTGCCTTTCTTTTCTTTTAAAGAGATTAAGACAAAAGAGGACAGAACAAAGCAGAACAGAACAATGTGAGCAACACAGTACTTCCAACAAGACAGCCGGATATTAATAGTACCTACCATAATGTCTCTTTCTTTGAAATAGTTGAGCACATCTTCACATAAAATAGTATCAAACATAAAATAGTATAAAACCATTCAAGAGAATGAAAGTATTACAGGGCCTTCAGTCCCAAATAACAGAAAATGAACAATCGCTACTAGATTATCTCATTTGCCGCGGAAAGCTCCGGTTCTCTTTAAACCAGGCAGGAGGAGCGGAACTGCCGGCCGGGCCCAGGCCTGGAGGGACCGCAGGTCCGGCGAGCTGAGAAGCCGGACTCCGCCTGGCGCCGGAAGTCGCCCCCGCACTTCCGGTGGCGCCGGAAGCGGCCCCCGCACTTCCGGTGGCGCCGGAAGCGGCCCCCGCACTTCCGGTAGCGCCGCGCTCTCCGGGCACTTCCGTCTCAGCGTGCCGGCGTGGCAGCGGGATGGCGGGCGCCGGCTTGCGGGCAGTGCTGGAGCAGCGGCTTGGCGCCCTAGACATCCGCACGGAGGTTGTGGAACACCCCGAGGTGAGGGTTCCGCCTTAGGGTGGCCGATGGGACAGCCGGCTTGAATGAGGGTCTACTGTACCACTGCGGGCGTGGTCGCCAAGGTCAGGAGCCCTGGGTAAGGTAGGGACAGAACGTCGCCTGCAGAGCATGTCCCGGGCCCCAGAGTGCCCAGGGGACCCGACAGGCAGAGCAGAGGCTTCTCCACTCGGCACCGTGAAGGTTTCTACTTTGAGTGATTTTGCAACACATTTAGTCAGTGAACCAGTCTACATATGGAAATCGCGCGCATCCCTCCCCGGTCTGGGACGTCGTTTGTGCTCTTTATGCATAGACGAGTTCCTAGGCGGTGAAGCTCCCAAGTGTCACACAGCCTAGGTACTGAGGGATATTGAGGATGTGGGTCTGTTGTTTCACTACCTTTGTGGTGTATCAGTTTGTACATTATGCTTTTGCAGTGTGGCCCCCTACCTCCCCAAGGAATACAAAAATGTATATCCTTTATTTTTGGACAAGATCTTGCCATGTAGTAGTGTGGTGTCTACAACTTATGCCTCCTTCCATGTTAGCCAGCTTCCTGAGTGCACAGCCATGCCTAACTTTTAAAAGCAACTCCACATACACGCCAATGTATCTGTCTTAGTACTGGGGATCAAGCCCAGGGGCACTGTTACCAGTTACATCCCCTATCTTGAACTTTCCACCCTCCTGCCTTAGGTTAGCACCACTATGCCTGGCTTATCCTCACCTTAATAAACTTTAACATGCTTTACTACATTAATCTGAACATTTGCAGATATTTCATGCAACAGCAATGTAACGAGTGGTGCAGTCATAAACTTAACCTAAATCTTGAGTGACACAATTATGGCTACAATGGTTACCTTTAGAGAGTGTCCCTGACTTTTACACATTTATCACAACTGTATTTTCTCTCACCTTTCTCCTGTAGTCACTACTCTTCTTTGTGCATACTGCTAAATATTTTCATGTTTTTAACGTATTAATCCAGGGCCTTAATTCACTGTCCTCCCTACATTTGTAGAGTGGAGGTTGTCACATGTCTGGATGTAATGGAATGCTAAGTAGTAGTAGCAGTGTAGGGCTGCTGTACCGTTTTCAGTACCAAAAGTTTAAAAAAATGTTTTTTAGAATACAAAGGCTTGGTTATTCATATTCAGTACACTGGAATAGAAAGAGAAATTGAAGTTCTGAGATAGCAGGAGTTCATAGTTAGTTGGCAATAAGCTAAATAGTCTGTACCAGATACTCCCTAACATTGCAGTTTTTACCCAGCAGACAGAATGCAATATGAATGTGTGTATGTGTGTGTGTATATAAAATTTCTAAACTTCTCATGTGGTTATTTTATAGGTGTTTACAGTTGAAGAAATGATGCCACATATCCAGCATTTGAAAGGAGCACATAGTAAGAATCTTTTTCTTAAAGACAAGAAGAAAAAAAGCTATTGGCTGGTGACAGTTCTTCATGATAGACAAGTTAATTTAAATGATCTTGCCAAGCACCTAGGTGTTGGGAGTGGAAATCTGCGGTTTGCTGATGAAACAGCCATGCTAGAAAAACTAAAAGTTGGCCAGGGTTGTGCTACACCCCTGGCACTCTTCTGTGATGACGGAGATGTGAAATTTGTTTTGGATTCTGCTTTTCTGGAAGGTGGACATAAGATGGTATATTTTCATCCAATGACCAATGCTGCCACCATGGGATTGAGTCCTGAAGACTTTCTCAAATTTGTGAAGACAACAGGGCACGATCCCATAATACTAAATTTTGATAAAAACTGATTGGGCTGGTAGGGGGTATGGAATGGTAGGTATAGCTCAGGGTCAGTGTTTGCCTAGGCATGAGCTAGCAAGCCTCTGTTGATTCCCATCACAGTGAAAGAGAGAAAACAAACAAACAAACCCAACTGGGGTAATGCTTAAATTTTTTTTAAAAGAGTAAATTTATTTCTAAAAGGTATTCTTCTTACAATTTTTAAAAAGAATTTAAATTGGTGACTATCACGAGGAGGGGGACTGAGTCTCACTATATAGTTCAAACTGGCCTTAAAAATCACTGTGTAGCCTGGCTTGATTCAAACAGTTCTCCTCCTTCGTCAGCCTCCTGAGTTCTGGGATTATGGACATGTACCACCATACCTGGCTGGGGGACGTTTATCTTTAAAATGTGTTTCTTAAAAAGATGTAGTGAGGTAGTACTTTTAAGTTTGTCCAGACATTCTGTCTTCTATCTCTGAGAACACCCCTTCATCATAGGTCTGCTCATCAATAATTAGGAATGCTTTTAAGATGAACTAATCTGTACTTTCAGTGTTCTGTATATTTGAAAAAGTTATAGACTGTTCTGTATAAAATTTTACATACGATAGCATATATAATAGGGAATAAAAAAGATGTATGAATATACTACATTGTTGACAGTGGTATTTTTGGGAAATGAGGATTAAAGATAATTAAAATTAGCTGAGGATAAATATATTATTGGGTGTTTCTTTATAAACCAGTATTTTTCCAGTAAAAAAACATTTTGCTTTTTTGAGACAGGGTCTCACCATGTAGTTTAGACTGTCTTTGAATTCAACCAAATAGGTAATGTAGGCTGCCCTTGAACTCATGGTGATCCTCCCACTTCAGCCTCCCAAATTCTGCGATTAGAGGCATGTGTTACCATGCCTGGCTTAGTTTAAAACTCTTGTAATTTTAATCTAGAAAACAAACTAGGATGGAAAATAGTTATAATCATAGTATTAAAATCACTTTAACACTCAATAGCATAATATACATTATACCAATAAAAAAGTATTTGTTTAGTTTTTGTTCAGAGGTTAAAAATGAATGTACTATACAAATGTTTTCTATCCTTACCTATTTTACTGTTCCATTTCAATATTTTTACCCTTTATTTATGACATCTGAACTAGGAAAATACAGTCATTTGTTTTAGAAGCTTCTTATTAAACAATGTGAAAAGTGAGAAAGTTTGGTATTTTTCACTTACATTCAAGCTTTTCTTTAGCTGAGGTGATAGAGACTAGACTTCTTGTCATGAAAATTTTTGTGTTTTCCTCTAGTACAATCAAAAATTGTTTAAAAAATTTAATTGTTTAGTGGAGATTGGACCCAGGGACTTTGTACTCAGCTACATTCCCAGCCTTTTGACATTTTTTTATTTTGAGAATCAGCTAGGTCAGTTAAGTTGCCAAGGCCAACCCTGAACTTTTGATCCTCCTGCCACAGACTCCCAGAGTTCTGTGATTACACATGTACCACCATGCCAAGCTACTGAATATTCTTAACCACATTTCTTCAAAAAATAATCTGTACCTAGAAGATACTGTACCTAACTTTCACTATCTTGTATTACTGAAGGGCAAAATCAGAATAACCTTATTCTAAGGTTGTATGTTTTTACCTATATAGAGGCTATTTTGGGCTCCTTTCTCCATAAAGGAACGGATTCATAGAATTTGAAGACCTTGTATATTTGGTCTACTGGTGAACACCGGCCTAGAGAGACTGAGTTTAAAGACACAAAGCCAGTTGCTTCCCAAGTCTGGATGAAAATAAAAGATTAATTTGTGCAGCCTACTAAAGTAGTTCCCCCTTCTCTGCCATTTTGCTTACCAAACTTTCCGTTACTTGTGGTCAACTGCAGCCCAAGAATGTTAAGTGGAATGTTCCAGAAATAGTTTAAATCTAAAACTGTTCTGAGTAGTTGAATGAAATTTCATGCCATCCCACAAAGTCCTGCCAAGAGTATGAAATCATTCCTTTGTCTAGCATATCCATGCTGCATATACTACTACCTGACCATTAGTTACTTAATAACTTTGTTCCCAAACAGCTGTGTTGGTATCAATTGGGTGGTACTGCAGCTGGTGTTCAAGTACCCCCTAGGCAGTAGCCTCATGTTATGTCACAATTTTTCCTGTGTCATTACCTACCTCACTTCATCTCATTACCTAGGCATTTTATCATTTCTCATCATCACAAGAGGAGTATAATACATTAAGATTCTGAGAAAGACTGTACTGTAACTTTATTACAATATAATTACTGTTGTCATTTTTACTGTGCCTTACTTACAAATTAATCTTTACTATAGGGACACAGGAAAAGAAGTGTATATTTGATACTGTTTGTGGTTTTAGGTATCCATAACTGTCTTGGAACATACCCTCTTCTGATAAATGAGACTACTGTAGATTGTATGTAAACCTGGGCTGGGAATGAGAACTGACAGACTGTCTTTTTTTCCGCAAGTATCTTAACACTCATTCTCAAATGATTAAGACAAAATAATCTACCTCGATTTGGTCATGTCTGAAAATAATTCTCCAGGGCAAAGAGTTAACAGTTGGCTAAAATATATAACGTTTAAATGATTGCTAACCACTTGTTATAAAAAAAACCACCTGTTTTATTTTTATATCAGTTTGAAAAGTGAATGTTAATCCAACTTAAATGTTTAAGGAGAAACAGTTTAAAATGAGAATAAATGTTTTAAAAAGAAATCAAACAGTCTCATAAGTTGGATTCTTGTGGCTGATAATAGTTGTCAAGTAATAAACATTTTGCCATCCAACTCCAAATCGCTCATTAGCATTTAATTTTAAAGGAAATGTTACAGCTTTTGTATTATTTGATTTGGTATTTAATAACAGTTGTAAGTACAATGGCAGACACTGAAACAGAGAACCCTTAGAAAAGGAAAAGACAATTTAAAATTAAGTTCTGTTAAAGGGTGCTGTAAGTGCAACGTTACTCAATTAAGCATTCTTTTTTAAGGCATTTTCATTGTCCAGGTATCTCAACATGTGCACCAAGAGTTATATTATAAAATGGGCTCCTGTGTTACTCATTCAAGGTTAAAAAAAAAAAGTCTCAGGACTAATAGCTGAAAAGAAAGGAAAACAAATTCACCGATTTTCTCATAAAAGGTAACTTAAAACACAAGACAATTTAGCATACATTATTCCTTCCCATTGTAATTCTAGATTTGGTATAGTATCATTCTCATTTCCTGACAAAACCTGGTAAGACAGTGCAGGCTGTAGTACTTCATCTATGAAGTGGCTGTAATTCTGTAATGTGCAGTGATTTTTTGTTTTTAAAATTAGGCTTTTACCATGCCTTGCATGAAAGGTGCTACGTGTGAATCTGTCTTATGAACTCTTTGGCACCACCAATTCAAAAATTTGAACCGAAAATTTCTACATGGCTAGATGTAAAGCACATAATTAGAGCTGTAGGCCAAAACTATTACCTAGTATATAGAATTGTTCAGTTTCCTTGGGGTTTTAGGTGTTATATGTACAGCCAGAAACTTAAAACCATCTAGGCCCTGTTGAGGAAAATAGTTCTGGTTTAGTTCCATCTGGCTTTACTATGTTGTTTATTTGCCAAAAGTTTATATGTAAGGGAACAAAAAGGCTTCCTATGAAGTCTGCTTCTGAGGGTTACTTTTGGAGAAAAGTAAAATATTCATGTGGTTATTATCTGGTCATTTCATGACATGCCATGAAAAATACAATGAATATGACCGGGAATATTCGAATTTTTACAGTTCCAGTGTACCCCCTTGGTTGTTTCTTTAGTTGTCCTTTCTCAAGATCAGTCCACCCAGAGTTAGTGCTTCATAGACTGTCATTCAGCACTTTCTGTTGAAGCAATAATGTGCTGGTCAACTCAACAGGTTCTATTTTTTAGGATGTTAGTATTTTGTAGAGGTCAAACTGGTATCACACACTGTACTGGCCAGCTTATACTCATCAGGTTTCAGCTTTCTGTAATTGTCCTGGGATGTGTCCTAGTTGTGCAAATTAGATGCTAGTTAATATAAATCCAAGTACCCACTTAGTGCATTTAGCTAGAACAATTTCTACATTTACTTTCAACTTATCCAGCCAAAAATAAGTTTACATTTTTTATATCAAGTGTCTCTAGCCTGCCATGATACTCATTTACTAACTTGATACTTAAAGCCAGGGAGTCATGATAGATAACAGACTAGAGAATAGATTTTTAATATTTTGTTGTACAATATTTGTATTTCAGTAAGATTCACTTGTATTTACATTTACATAGCACCTTTGGTCCAAGAATTTTAAAACCATAGTATTTGGTGGTAAAATCTACATTAATGGTGGTATTGAGTTAGTAAGTCCAAGTTCTGGAACTTCCATTTCAATTTCTGGTCTACTAAACATGCTGTTTCTTTTTCACTGATGGTCTTTCCAAAGAGAACTATGTATACAACACTGCTACTGGCCTACCAGATAGGAGTAGTAAGGGATCGGGTGGGGTGTGTTTCATGGCTACTGGGTTAGTGGTGATATATACAGTTTATAAACCATACATTATGGAATATGGAATAATTCCCAAAAATTCTTTAGAGCTGGTAATAGAGCCTAAGAAGTATATCATTAAAACAAAAATAGTAAGTTCTCCTTTCACTCCTTTCAGATTATTTTGATATTTATGTTTAAACAATGCATTTTTTGGACTCCGTAAGAAAATAAAACTGTGCTATAAAATTGGAATTACTAAAAAAATTGATGTTTCTCTGAGTTAACTAAATCTACTTTTTTGTGCTTTTTCCAAATGTTTAAGGTAACAAATGCATACAAATATTGCAAAAGTACCACTAATAGTTACTGACTTTAATGTAATATTATAAAGGACAAAAACCCAACAATTCTTAATAAATGATAAAAATAAATGAGTTCCTGGAAAAATGCAGATCATAGTGCATTATTTACATTACTTTTTGCCAAAAGAAAACTTCTTAAGCAACATCAGCTCTTAAGTTAAAAAAAAACCACATACATAACCCAATAGCGAAGAAATGAAATGAGTTAAAGCACAACAGCTTTATCTTAGGAATGCTAGTTGCTGGAAAACCTTACTAAAAAAGGTTTCAGAGAAACACTTGTCTTGGATCCATGAGTGAATGTTTAGTGTACCTTAGGAACATGGACAGGATCATGTAACTAAATTTTTTGTAAGTTCTGTAGCTCATTATGGATTTTTCAGATTTATAACTGAATTTCTTTTGCAGTGCCTCAAAATAATTTCTTTAAAAAAAAGAACCAACACATGCAGTTTGCTAACCAAAAGGGCTCTGACATGCTAAAACAATTTTCTGTGTATCTTGATATATAATACATTCCACAAAATACTACAGATTTAATTTAGATTTACACAACTAAATATAAACAGATAGCTTTTGGCTAATACTTAGCAGGAGCATTAAGCAAACATGGATGAATTCATAAACAAATGATAAAGAAAGCAGACTGTATTTGGAGTAGTTCTTGTAACACTTGACCTTAGGCCACCTGTGGTCTTTAGTGAGAGAATGTCCGTTATTCAGCAGAGCTTAACAATACAATGTATAGTTAAGTCCTAAAACTTTCTAAAACTTTTGGCAGTTGAATCCAGTAGCGCTCCTTGATTCAAGGAAGGAATGAAGGTTTGTATTTCTTGCCTGCTCTATTCACGAAGGATTGCTTAGTCTTAGAGATATTTAAAAAAATGGTTCTATAGTTGGTAGGTGTCTTGTTACTTCACAAATAAAGGCTTCATATTGAGAAACTGAAGGACATTTTTCTCTCTGTATTTCATTGGAAGGTAGAAAGAAGAAAGAAAATGTAAGAAAAGCTTAAAGATAAGAGGGATATATACTACAAAGCAGCACTCTTACGAGCATGAACATGCACCAGGTGTGTCTTAAGGATATGACAGTGTGACAGAAAAACTTTTCTTTGGTTCTTCAAAGAATAAACCCCTACTTTACTCTCATCAATTATAAAGAAGATTGTGGAGAAGTTATTTCCAGCATACAAATATTTCACATTATTCACTAGTAAAATTAAATTTAAACTGATAGAAAAATACTTCTTACACCTGTTTCCTGTACTGTCAGAAAAAAACCCCCATGGCAACCAACTAATCTTGCTTTACTAGTATACAGGTCAGAAAGCCAATCAATTAAGCAAGCAATATTTACATCTGTTAATGCAATGTGCACTTGCTCTCACTTAAGTCAGTTAGTTTGTATAAATGAGACTAATCTCATTTACATTTTAAGCAGTAAACTCACCACTTGGCCCACGTCATGTAGTGGGTAACAGAATTAGGAGCTTTGTTGCTCCCTAGACCTGCTTTTTGAATTTCTGCTTTCTTGTATTTTGTCCACATCTGCAGGAGAAAAGCATTTCATGTTATTTAATTAAAGGTTAAACATAAATAATAGAAAAAGATAAACTAAAGAGCAGTCATTCAGTAGGGGAAGAAAATCGGGTTAAATGGGAAATGTATTAATCTCACACATCTTACTACTTGAGGCTGATTTTTTGTATTTTAAACAAGTGATTAACATGAAAGCTATTTTTAAAAAAGCTGTAACAGTTTTTCTCATTGAGTGTTGGGCTTACATATTTCCTACATTTATTTAGTAAATGGTCACAGGGTGTGTGTGTGTCTGTGTGCATGCGTATGTGCGCGTGTTTGAGACAGGGTTTTGCTATGCAGTTCAGGATGCCCGAATTCACTTTGTAGCCCAGGCTAGCCTTGAACGCCTTGAACTCAATGACCCTCCTGCCTTACTCTCTTGAGTGCTGGGATTACAGGCATGTACCACCATGCCTAGCCAACGATAAAGTTTTAAAGTAAAAAATCTTGCACTCAACAGCAGGAGCATCCAAATATCTGGAATGAAATATGTATATTTATCAGCAAATTAGGGCTGAGGCATATTTTGCAGGTTAATATATCTGATTACATTGATTATAGCTAAAACTGCTTTGTTTCAAGTGAACCTAAACCATGACATTATGTTTACAGTATCACATAAATCAGACAGGTACAATTTCTAGAAATGTAACATAGGGAATATAAAAGCAATTCAGTCCTATTGTTTATAAAATGACAGTATTTGACCTTAACTGTCAATCCTTTGTGCAACTAGATATTTATGGAAGTGTCTTAGAGAAATTAAGTGCTTAATTGTGCTTAATTGTGTCAGAATTGATTCACCTTTATCTTTAAAAAGTGTTGGTCATCAATATAGATTTTCATTTGCAGCAACTACTATGCGGATTAAAAAAATTTTAGGAGACACTGTTTCCGTATGTTACAAATCCCTCCCCCGACAATTTGATTCCAAGTGCTACAAAGCAACATAAGGAAGGCACTAGTAGTGTTTGTTTTGGCAAAGTTTTATGACTGCATGTCAAGTGCTGGTTTCTAAAAGTAAGTCTAGAGTCTGCACTGTCAGTCCTCAGAACACATGGATATAGTATGTATGTTTTTGAAAAAAATATATATATAGCCATTTGTAGGAAATATTCTTTCCTGTTAAGTTTGATTTTGTTAAAGTTTTATAGCACATGATCTTCAATGTATTTTGAATGAATGAAGTTAGTATTTTAAATGTAAAGTGCCATGGCCAGATGTGTGATATTTGAAAATTTGCAATGTTTGTGAAAAAAGATCTTTGACTTAATCTGGAAAAGAAATGACAGTAATTTTTATATTTGGATCATATATGGCCTCCATCTCATCTCAGCCATCTCTGCCATTAATTTCATTACTAAGTTAGAGAAAGGACCTAGTCTCTGATCCTGTGTAGGTACAATACCTATTTTCACAAATGAAACAAATTTCATTAAACAAAGATTCTCTGTACATTATTTTTGTCAATAACAAGTTTAATGTAATAACCAACATAAAATAATTTCTCCTTACTTCGTGACACTTCAGCCAGGTGTGGTAGCACATGGCCATAATCCCAGCACTGATGATGTGGGGGGATTGCAAGTACTAGTGTGGCCTGGGTGATTTAGTGTCTTAGCAACACCCTGTCTCAAAATAAAAAGGGCCGAGACTGGGAATATGGCTCTGGGTTCAATTTTCAGTACCATGACTAAAAACAAAACAAAACAACAAAACAACCCCCTAAAAGCACAGAATAAGGTCACATTTTAAAGGCATTCCAGATGGCATACTATTTAGGATACATTAAAATGGCAAAAACATTCCAGAGACAAAGCTAAGATACACTGCTCTTCCTCCAGAAGTAAATCAAGGTTACAGGTTTTTTAATATTGTAAAACTTAGAATTTTATGTAAACTAAGATAATTTAAGTAGTCAGGAGTTCATAAATACGGTTTACTCTATTTAACTAGAGTTTGTAATTATCCTTTGTTCTAAAAACATTTTTTATTTGTTATAAGTTCTAATTTTAAATGTTAGCATCATGTTTTAACTTTTATAATTAAGACTATAATATATATTTTAACAACTATACAAGTAATAATTTATATCACTTTGTAAATTTATTACCCTTTTGGAAGAGAAGCAAAAATACAAATTTTCAATATGTTGCATATGCTTTATTTTTCTTTAACTCATCTTGAAAGATAATATCAATGCTCCTAGTCACTGTGTAAATTACATTTAAATTTGATGGAGTTTTTTTTTTTTTTAGAAATAACACTGCATTTACAAATATTCACAATGTTTTAGATCTGGATTATATTTTATTTTTATGGGCATTAGTTAAAATTTAATATAGTGTTAAGCTGAATTATTGACTCTTTCTTTGAAAATAGAACACGGATAGATGGCATAATTAAATGACAAAAGGAAATGACATCTTTTTGTATATTTTCCTTATTGCTTCTGTACATGTGCAACATGAAATGCACATTCTTGGAAAAAAAAAGAGGAAGAGCAAGAGAGAAAAGGAGGGGCAGAAAAGTGGGATGGGAGGAAATGAACATACTTTTTAAAACCAACAAAGCAAACATAACTTGGAAATGCCTTCGTGGTAATGAATCATGCAACTATTTTAACATGCTTCTGGATATCAAAGAAATAATCTTTTATCAAGTGACAAAAAAATGAAGGAAAAGAATGTATGACTGAAGTTTTTAAAGGCATGCAAAAGATGTACAAAGTAATTAACATTTCGTGCAGGCTTTGGTGTGGGTACACATTCATGTTTATACACATGCCATCATGTACAGCTGAAGACTGTTGTAACAAGCTTAAAATATAAACCTAGCCAAATGGTACTTTACAACAGTAGCTCTTCAACAGATTAGAGAAGCGTAATGCGTATCAAATAACATCAATATATTATGCAGTTTTGATCATACACAACCATATTCATACCAAATAGTTTTATTATCCTCAGAAACCAACAATGTGGCTTCTGTGTCATCAGGATAGAGGCAAGCAGGGGTGATAAGCTCACTGCTATCCACGGAGGACTGTGGGTTACTGTTACTTGGGTTCTGCCTGTCAGGTAACTGTTCATTACTGTTCTGTGCAGCTTCTTCCAAAGAGGCAGAAGCCTGGTTTGTTTCTCTGGAGGTCAGCTTGAGAGGTAACCCACTTATGTTACTTACTAACTCTGTGTTCAGGGATAAGAAAGGCTGAGATGAGTGAACCATCGTAAATGACTCTATGCTATCTTTACATGATATACCAAATACATTGTAAGACGTATTAGTAGTTAAAAAAGTTTGATTTAGACAATGTGACCTTTCTGTTCTCGAGTTTCTACCCTGGGAATACAGAGAGTCAGGCACATCTGTAGCTACATCCTTTTGGGCCTGAGAACCTACACCCGGGGTTAGACCACTCAGCACGTGAGAGGACCACTGGTGTAAAGGGTACTCACTAGATGCTGCCGTGATGGTGCTATCAGCAGCAGGCTGTGATGAGTCAGTGCACACCGGTAGTCTACTGTCCTTGGTCAAAAAGTCATGGATGCTTGTCCTTCGTGTAGTTCCCTCAGCAGTTGAGATTACACTGCTTGCACGAGGTAAAGTGGCATAAGGGTTGCTATCTTTTGATTGTCGTGACACAGAGGTTTCTTTTACAAATTTTATCTTTCCTTGAGTGCCTGGTGTAGGTTTTCCTGCAGAACTAATGACGTAGGCTTCTTCAGTCTTTCGAGAACCAGCTCTCACAAACTCAGGCTTACTTGTCCGTCTATCACAGAAGTCCCCTGGGGTTTTTCCACTTACTGACCTGGCCAGACCACAGCTAACTGGCTTGTCTTTTCCCAAAAAGTCAGAAGAGACAGACAAACTTTTCATTACTTCATCTAAAAGATTCTCTTGACTTGAAGATTTTAACTGTTTAAAAAAATCAAAGCAGATACATAAATAAAACTCTTTTGATCTTCCTTAGATATTGAGCTGTACAATACAAAGCTGGTACCACTTAACACTTTATAATTTAAAAAACTATAAGGTTCGATATTATAGACATTTAACATGTGGTATTCATCAAAATAGTGTCACTATACACAAAACTAACCTGTATTGAGGTAAGCTTGTTACTTTCTTCTAAAAACTGTTGTAGAGTGACAACTTCACTTCCAGGTGAACCAGTTTTTATCTTGTGGTGTGTTCGAGTTTCTAGTGATTCTGGCATTTTGTGCTGGAGCACTGGACTTGATCTGGTCTGTCTTTTCAAGTACTGGATTGGACTGCTTCCACTGCTGGACCATGCCTCATAATCTGGAAGCAGGCTAAATTCTCCACTACTGTGGCTTTGTGGCCTGCTTTGGTTACTAACTGCACCTGCTTTAGGAGTAAATATTGTATATTGAGACTTTAATAAAAATGAAATTATTATATGTCATAATACAAATATATATCTGTATTTGTTGACTGATCTCTTATAATATACATAAACGTTGAAACTTTAAGAACATAACTACATTAACCTCAAATTATTTCAGAATGTTAAAACCCAAAGCTGTTTTAAATGCAAAAATAAAAATTTTATTCTCTTTGCCTCTTTATGAAGTCATCATTATTTATTTGAAGGGTTCTCTGTTCATCCTAAATGAATAATCTTAACAATCTTTGAACTGAATTAGTATACATATAAAGGATGGAAAAATAATGTAATTAGACAAATATACAATATTTTATTAAGATCTGAATCATGTTAATTGTTTCAGTTTACTATTGGTACAGGGCCTATGTAGCCTTAAAGATTCAGTTCAGGTTGAATAATATAGAATGGAATAAATCTCCCTAAAATCTATGCTATTCCTAAGAAGATCTGATCTGTTTTGATCAATAGCAAAAGCTGTTCTGATGAACTGGAAGCTGCATTTTTATACTAATGGCACAACTTTCCATGGTTTCTTAATCATAGAGAGTACAGTCATGAAAGAATTTGTCTCATTATGTAACATACCGAAATAAGATTTTCTGAAATTTTTACATCAGAAGAAGAAATTCTTTATATGTATTTTTGGAGTATATTTTCCTACTGGATGTAATACAACTGAGAAGTGAAAAAATTAACTTTCCCTTAAAAGCAAATATTTCAGATCACTGAAATGAAGTCACAACATTAATTGTAAAATTACTATTAATATAAGAGATTAATGTATTCATTATAGTTTTAATTGTGAAACAGGAATTGAGAAGGCAGCATATCTTCAAGGAAAAGATATTAGTTAGAAAATTTCCAGACATTTACAGGAAACTTCAACTCGGAATGAATATTAAAAATTAAGGAAACAAGGATAGGTGCATGCCTGTAATCCCAGCAATTGGGAGGCTGACGCAGGAAGATTATGGCAAGGTCAAGGCTAGCCTGGGCTATGAAGTGAGTTCAAGGATATTCTAAACTACACAGTGAGACCCTATCTGAAAAACAAAACAAAAAGAAACAATAAAAAACCCCTAAAAAACTTCAAATAATCTTTATAGAAGCTAAAATGTGTCCACATGAACTGCTTCTCAAAAGGGAAAACAAAAACTTTATTTTATGCATACAGTAAGCTAGAAGTATTTGTGAAGTATGAGTAATGCAAGTTTAACATACATGCATAATGAGAAAATTAAGGACAACCATATAGATATGAAAGACAAAATGTAAGTAAAGATCTACAGATAATTTTGAAGTATAAAGATTGCTTTATCTGTGAAAATGAAAAACAAAAATAATGCTCCTGTTTTTACATTTGCATACATGAAAATATATCTGTATTACAATGCAAAATATATAAATGTTCCTAAGAACTATTTTCAAAACATAGATGACTTGGACTTCACACTTTTCCTCAGAAACTTTGTTCCATCTCCAGCATCTTCCCCACACCCTTTGGGGCCTGGAAATTTAACTTGGGGTTGTACAAGTTAAGTGTGTGCTCTACCACTGAGCTGTTCCTCAAGCTCTTCTCCCATATTTAAATAATATTGGTAATGAATGAAGTACATTAATAAATTTACCTACAGCATACCTTTGACTTCATGGAGTGAAGCATTATTATTACTATTGCTAGTGGATGTTCTGCCACTATCAAGGCTGGCTGGTCTTGAAGCTAAATGAAAAAATCAGGAGACAGTGTGATGAAATTTCCAGCTGATTAGAATGAATTTTACATTCTGATCACAGAATGCTTTGTACAAACAATCATGCATACTGTCACAGGCTGAACAAGTTCACAGAGAGGTGAACCTTATAGATTAGAAAGTAAACACATTTCTTGGGCTGGGGATTTAGCTCAGCGGGGTAAGCGCCTGCCTGGCAAGTGCGAGGTTGTGAGTTCAATCCCCGGTACTGAAGAAAATAAAAGTAAACACATTTCTAGATAATTCCGAATGATAATGCAAAACAGGATATTTAAATAGCTGAGATTCAAAGAAGAGAACATGTACATATTTATATTTGAAAGTGATTCCTAGATGGATACTAGAACTACTTTGGATGATAGAATGACATGTTCCCTCAGTCTCCCAAAAATTTTACAGATCAGGCCACTTAAAACAGATGAGACAAAAAATTCTACACAATGCAGAGATGCCATGAGGAGGAGGAATGTGAAGCATTTATGCAGTTAATGTCATGTATTTCTATCTATACAAGGGAAGCAATTTTAGACTTAACCTTACACTATGGTAATCCTGCTTACACCTAAAATTCCTTTAACACTTTATCCATTTGTTGATAATAGTAATTTAGTTTGATGATTTTTTAGATGGAAATTTAAAAACCTAAAATACTGAACACTAAAGAAAATTGATTTCTTAAAAGGTCATCCTTTACTACAATAAATATTTTTAACTAGTGGTAAAACCTGATTTTTATAACCACCCTTATATAAAATGGCAACAAAATTACCCTTGAGGATTGTGCAGGTACTTTATAAATGACCTTGATTAAAACAGGGAACACTCAGGTGAAGAAATAATCTTTAAGGCACGAAAAAAAGTATTAAGTTTGAAGAAATGGTAGAAGTAACTACGAGATGCAGGATAAACATGTTTTCTGGAGTTGCCACATTCACCTACTTAATATGAAAATCTCAACATTTCCATTAAGAATTTAATATGTGTTCGAAATAAAGTTTTATCTTACCATGAACTCTTGATCCCGTACTAGAATCATCACTAATACCTTGTGGACTTATATCTTCAAAGGATGTAGTATCTATATAAAATAGCAAAGTGGATATAAACATACTTTTGTAAAAAGTTTCATTAAAAAATTTATGCAGAATATAGAAATTCTTTATCACATATAAAACATCTTGGTTTAACATGTTTCACAGAATCAGCCAGAAACTAGAACTAGGAGTAAGAAACCAAATTGATTTCCTTAGGGACAGTACTAGAAGCAATGCAAAAATCCTCCGTGGTTCTGTAACGCAAAGCTAGAATCTAGGTTGTTCTTTTGTTCAAGCTGCAGTGTTTTAGGTTTTTTTGGGAGAAAAAAACCCACTCAAAATGATTATCCTCCTGTTTTCACTCTTTATCTTGTTTACTTCTGTCTTCTTGTTAGTTCATTAACTGTTGAAGGGAGGTCTAAAAAGATTTTATATTTATCTATGTAATGTTTTAAATGTTTGGAAATCTCCCCAAATCAAATTTAGACTATGTTTTACTAATTATTTCAGGTTGATTTTTAAAAGTACACCGGAGAAAATCAAATTTAAATTCCTGCTGTCAACAGTTACTCCACAGTGCAAGTAGCAGACAGCCTATACCTTTATTATTAACCAACTGCTTGGTTCTGAAGCCTGCAGAAGAGTTGACAGTTGAAAAGTTGATGGCTGTAGTAGAGAAGGCCATAGCTCCCAATTCACTTCTCCTTTTACCCGTTGGAATATCATCAGGAACCTCCAAATTCTCAGTACTACCTGTCCACTGTCCTGCTAGAACCATGGACTGCACCAGGTCATTCATGGCTGGGATGCAAATGAAAGCAAATGAATCAGCATGGTTAATGTATTTGCTCTTATTTCTCTTTTGTATTACAAATGATTTTGCTTTTGTCTATGACTATGCAAATGAACATTTAAACACCTATAACTACAAGTTCATTTGAATTATTACATGCATTCGGCTGAATGAAATGAAGAGGCCAAAGGCTGATAAACTTCAATAAGTATTTTTAAATCCCACATCTCCACCCCCCTTATAAAACAGGAATTTATTTTACAATGTACAATTGCCATGCTTTTGTGCAATGATGTGCAATTCAATTAGAAGCCTTCATAATGTGGCATGTGGTGACAAAAATGGAATGAATTAAGATGGAAAGCAATTCTTATACAGCATCATCGAAATGAAAAAAGAGTCCTTGGTCAGAGCAGGTTACTGAAGAAATAATTCATTTTTAAATCAAATAAGTATACCATTGAGTAAAAACCTGAAAGAGATGATATCCAAATTGACATTCAATATGATTATGTAATTACCCAACCATTTAAAAGAAAACCCAGAATATTACTGTATAATATTGTATTGTATTATTGTATAAAGAATGACAAATATTTTCAAGGGTTATAGGCCATTTTATTTATTTAATTGGGTTCATTAAAGAAATAAATATCTAATGCTAAAGGATTTGTTGTATTTTTCCTTAAGTAAATTTCTTTGGGAAAAAATCTCTATAGCATACAAAATTAAGGGTTTTTTCTATCTCAACTTTCAGAAAGCACTGGACATTTTGCAAATATATTACTAAACAAATGCATGTATATGTATTACTATAGTCATACATATAATGCAAATTCAACGCCAGCTTTGAAAAATATTCTTCCAGTTCCTTGGACTAAATAAAGAAAGACTGCACTTTGCAAAATAAGAAATTGGTACAGTCCAGAGAAAGGTTAGTGAAAAATTAGTAATGGAAGCCAGTGTAGTCATTTGAAAGAATCTGAACTGTCATAAAGTCTTACACATAGAACGACGGTAGCAGGCCTTCATTTTGTCTTTATCCTTCGGTCTGTTCCTCAAAAAGGGCAGTCTTTTCAGTGCAACCACTTTAATGTCAGAGCATGAGGAAAAACAGAAACAGGGAAATGAAAGAAAAAAAGGAAGAAGAACAGATGGGAGTTAAATGTTGAAATTAAGGACAGAAATGAATGTTGAGTTTCAGCTATGTATGCTATATTAAAGCTATTATTCTCATGCTGCTGAGTGATAATGAAATATGAAATATGTACTTCGATACTTTAAAATACTTGGAAAAGCACTGAAGACAATGATGAGGAACATACTTTGAAAGCTTGGATTGAATTTCCCTAGCTAAGTTGTAAAGGCTAAACTTTTAAAACTAGGCTATTGGTAGTTCACAGGATAATGTAATGAAAGTATAATGAAAATGTACAAGGCTTTTCAAGCTTCTATTTTCTTTTAATATTTTTAGGCTTTTAGAAAAAATTATTTAGGGAAATTTATATGAGAGTTATTTTAGTAATACAAAAATTACAGTGCCCAGATGTTTAAAATAATCTATAGAAACTCCAAAAACTTGTCATAAAAACTTTTAGTACTCTCCTAAACTTTACAAAAGAAAATAATGGTTTAAACTGGATCCCAATACATCGTTTTATAGCAATATGGAAATATATATTCTTTTAACCAAAAAATTAAATAAGCAATTATACTGGGTTCTTCTTACAAAAGATTGGCTGGGGAGAAGCAGTGGGGAGAGTATTTTGATAGCAGTTAGCACTAAGCCCTGATAAAGCTAAAAGAAGGCATCCCAAAGCAGACAAGAAAATATACAGCATTTAAAAAGCATTTTGAAGGATGCAGTGCTTGAAATTATCTTTTTTTAAAAAAAATTTTTTTGGGGGGGGCTGGGAATCTAACTCACAACCTCCTGCTTGCCAGGCAGGTGCTTGTGCCGCTGAGCTATATCCTCAGCCCCTCAGTGCATGAAATTAAAAAAAAAAAAAAAATCAAAGTAAGCACTGTGCAAAAGACTTATGTCAATTAAATGCTTATCAAGAATAGAAGTTATTAGAAAAAAATTCACTAGAACACTTGTTTAGCTACATTTTAAGTGAGATTTAAATATAAAAATTATTACACCTTTTAGGAAAAGCAATTTAGGAGTTAGGAAAACAACCTGCATAAAGATTTAATTAAAAACATATACACAGCCTAAACAGTTACTCTGTTTCTTGGGATTGCCATCATCTTGTAAATAACCAAAACTCTCAATAAACTTGACAAACATTATTCATTAATGAGTGCAGTGAACCAATTTTTAACTGATTTGACTGCTACAAGTAAAATTTTGACCTATTTTCTTGTCAAGCCTGGTAATCACAGCTGTTTTCAATGATTAAAAAGAAATGAACTGAAAGCAATGCAAAAATGGACACTTAGCTCAAACAAAGCTGAGTGGTTGCAGCATGCACATGTTGTCTTGTTTAGATACGTTTTTTTCCTTTTTCTATTTTCAACTCTTTTCAAAAAGACTGCTTTACTGACAGACAGACACTCTTTCAAACGGGATAAGAAGAGCTTTAAGTGTGCTACGGATGGAATGTGATTCTTTTTATGACAATTATTTTGGAGATATAGTGTTCTTTTCCCAAAGCATACTTAAATTAAGGGAACATGAGTATTACTGAGTTCTTCTTATTATAAAGATTCTAAAATTGAAAAACTGTAAGAAAGGAGAATATCTTTTCCTGATTTTTATTCTGACTATTGTAGCAGAGTATGAAAGAAAGATAAGTTTATATTTCAAACAGACAAGATGACCTCGGAAAAGACTGTTATGCCTTTCTTGTGTATGTTCTCATGTCTGAGTTGAAATATTTTCCTTTAATTAAAAACATTGCTTAATGTCAGGTATTTTATAACTAAACTTAGAAGATTTGTCACTTTTTAAAAGAAAACCTTGAGATAATCTCTCCAAAACAATAACTGCTAACTGGGTAAATGAGACTAAATGGTGTGAGGCCCAGGTAACAGCACTCTTTTGTGGCAATACTGGATTAAACTGCTTTCTGGAGACTGGTGTATGTACAGGGTGTATGTGCACTGTTTTGTTGTTGTTCCTTACCTATGTAGTCCAGTTTTCAGACTGCTATAGCTGTAATCTGAAATATATGCTATATATGTTTAATAGCTACCGGATAAACTACTGTCTTTTTTCAGAGGTCAATCACCTGATGCCAAAACACTTGTGCCTCGTCCCGTTCCCCTCCCGCCCTGCCCCCTTTAGGGGGGAAGCAGCTGCTTTTGCTTGCTGTTTCTTTAAAAAAAAAAAAAACATGGTGTTATGTGTGCATGTGTTTAAAATTTAGTAATACCACTCATAGTGGTGCTACACTTTATAAGAACAGTGATAATCAACTTCTTGGACATCTTTCAAATTGAACTGTATTTCTCTCTCTCTCTTTTTTTTTTTTTTTTTTTTGTCTTTTTCCTTTTTTATTGGTACCGGGGATCGAACTCACGACTGCCTGCTTGCAGGGCAGGTGCTTATGCCGCTGAGCTAAATCCCCAGCCCCCTGTATTTCTCTTGAAATATACTTTTTTAGGCTTTGATTTTGTTCTCGCTATTTAGCTAAGCAAGCACCACTAGTAATGAAACAAAAACATTATAAATTACATATGGCTTTTTACAATGGGGTACTTCTAATTTATGATAAAAAATTAAATCCTAAGTTTATATACAAGCTTTCATCTCCCTTCCTCCACTTCATTTGAATTAAAACTTTACCAAGCATCCTTTAATAATTTTCTTAACCTTCAGTTATTAATAGACAATTTAACACTTTTTCTCTTTGCTTTTCTCAGTGTAACAACTTTGCTCCAACTTGATCAAAGTACACAAGCAAAATCTTCATCATAAAATGTTATTTTCAGTTTTTAAAAAATATTTAAGAAAATGAAATCTTAAGACATATTTCTCAGTTGCTTCTCACAATCACCCAGGAAAATATAAAGCTAAGGTTAAAGGCCCACCTACTCACATTAACAGAACTTGCAAGTGACAGAGGTAGTCTAGCTCTTATCTCATTGTTCTTTCTAAATTACTTGTCTAGAAAAGCATGTATATCTCTGTGCACAGTATGTCTCAGAAAGCTGTGGGTGTGCACTATTGCACTACACATTTTATAACTGTACAGAATTACAATAAATGTCACTTAGTTCTCCCAAAAGACTTGAACAAAATATTTGTCAAATAAAGAAATACTAAGTATATTAAAGAAATATTTAGAAAGGATTCTGAATTGATAACTGTTTATTAAAGGGTTAAAGCACTCACTGCTGCTTTTCTTGGTCCCCAGGGTTTGGCCATCTTCTAAAGAATTGGACCCCACTGAAGAACTATCTTGACTGTCTTGGTGAGGCAGCTGAAGAAATCCTTCACTGGAGTCTGAGCGGGTAGGTGTTAGTGTTAAAGATTTCTGACGTTCTCGATTAACATCCTTCTTGGATTTTATCAGTTTTCTCATTTTGAGAGTAATCCAGTTACCTCTCCTAATAGAATCCAAAAATGTTCTTAATTTAAAATTCAACACTTAGTCCTTCACAAAATCAAAAGTCTTCACAATAGAAGACATAATACAACTTTTTTCAAAGAAAGAATTTATAAAACCTGATAAACGGTACCTTCTAGGTGGAGATGGGTCATAAAATTTGTATTGATCCATAATTTTCTCTTCTAATTTCTCCTTTTGTCGTCTTAATTCATTTAACTTATCACTATAAAAATAAAAATTACTTTTTAGAACATGCATCACACATTGTACAGTTATACATGATAGTAAATTATTTTGTGACTTTGATCTTACTTCCTCTTGAAACATAAGCAGATACTATAATTATCAACTAAGAATTTACTAGGAAGTAACAATGGAATTTCTCAGGGCTGGGAATTTAGCTCAGCGGCATAAGTGCCTGCCTTGCAAGCAGGCAGTCATGAGTTCGATCCCCGGTACCGATAAAAAGGAAAAAGACAAAAAAGAAAAAAAAGAAAAAAAAATAAAACAATGGAATTTCTCCACATTTCTCTATTTCTTTAACTTTAAAACTTACTTAAAAAGATTTGGACTGTAAGTTTCAGTTCTTCAATAGGATTTCTTTGAAGAAAAATTTTCCATACTATACTATTACTCTGTAAAAGGAATTCTCAACATCTTTTTATACCTCTTAAACACTGTCAACATTAACTATTTCTTTACTCTCTATTGATTAAGCAAAACAAGGTTGGATGTTTAGTTTGCTTATAAGAAAACTGTAGATATAATAATCTTTCTATTATAGTATATCTTGATATACTACAAATAGATTTTTTTTCTTTTTGGTGGAATTACTTGGGCTTAATGTACTCATAAACAATTATTTCTTGACCCCAGCAGTAGAAACTATATTACTTTTGTCATATTCTAGACTCTTTATTTTTCTAAGACAAGAGTCTTTTTATGCTGTCCAGGCTAGCTCTGAATTCTTGATTGTCCAGTCTCAGACGCCACAGTTCCATATACCACTGTGCTCATTTCCTAGTCTCATTTTTATATTCTCAGTAGTTATTTTTTACACTCAGAAACATCAATGATTACAAACCCAAGTACAATGAGTTCTTAAAAAAAACTGCAACAGCACAAAATGCTGTCTATGGAGTAAAACTTTAGTGATCATTTACAATGAGAAAGGAATCAGGTAAAGATGACAATTAGCTCTACTTATGATACAGTGGGAGAGTGAATATGTATAAATAATTGTGAGGAGTCAGAAACACAAAACAAAAGTATTGTGAAATACAACAGGAATCTATAAAAAGAGAAATAATTTCATCTTGGAAGATCAAAGAAATCTTCACACAAAAAAAGGTCAAATCACAGATTAAAAAGGAAAGATAAGGCCTCTCTTGCTGCTTTTGCTGCCATGAACAGTTGCCCCTCTGCCATGTGCTCTGCTTTGGAGCCAGCTATGTACTGAAACCTCTACAAACTGTGAGCTAAATAAACCTTTCCTCCTTTAACCTTGAGTGTTGGGCGTTTTGTCTCAGCAATGACAGAAAAGTATCTAAGACAGAAGACAGAATTTGGTACCAGAGAAGTGGGGTCACTGGTGTTCTGGAGCCTTTGAGAATGGCTTGTCGGAAGCATTAGGAAAGGTTTGGAGATGCCACATGAAAATGCAGAGCTGGAATGCGTAGGCTGTTCTGAATGAGAGATTCTGGTTAGAGCTTAGAAGATCAGAAGGCTGAGAGAAATCCTGCCAGTAAAGACCACGCTCAGGTTGTTTTTGCAGAGAAGAAAGACTACACTGGCTGTTGGACTCCCGATGATGTCGAGTTAGGACTTGGCAGAAAGCTTGTGTGCATTTTGCTTGTGTCCAGAGGCTGCAAGAGACTGAGATTAAGGCTGAAAGACTAATCTTACAGAAGAATGTTCAAGGCCATGGCATGGCTACTGCTGGGGGCTTTTAGTCAGATTTATGTTGAGAATCAAGAACAAAGAGCAGAATGATTCAAAATGTGTGAGTCGGGTCAGAAAGGAAGGTCCAGCAAAGATGTGAACTGCCAAGATACAGCAGACTGGCTGTTGATTGCTGAAAACAGGAAAATAGAAAAGATGGCTTAAGGGCATCAAAAGCAGCAGCAGGACCCTACCCTATGCAGTCTCAAAATTGCCCAAGTGAACGACTTCACTTTGAGAAGAGAGCCCCAGAGCACCATGTTCCAGAATGCTGATGGCCTACAGAATCTGATCCTAGGAATTGGATTCGGAGTCCTCAGCAATTCAGGCACACGACCCCTACAACCAAGAGAGGGAAGCCTGGCTACTACTATAGCTAGCAGCAGACCTGGGCTGTTAATGGTGTTGGTTTTAGGTGCATACAGAACACAACAGTTGTGGGGGTCAGGAAGGCTTCCACCCAGATTTCAGAAGAAGGCTTGGGGGCCAGACAGTATGTCCCTGAGGTGTGTGAAGCTGTACAAGTGAAGCCAAAGGTGCAGTGGAGACCCCCGAAGTTTGGAGAAGCCAGGAACATAGATTGTTTTGAGGAAAATTGCAAGGAGGGAGCAACATGGGGCCAAAAGAGAACCATAGGAGCTACCACCACCACCACCACCACCACCACCACCACCCCTACGACCAGAAGTACTGTAGAGATGAAGCCACCCAACCCCTCTGGAATTCACGTCTTGTCACAGATTTCTTCCTTCCACATGGAACTAAAGGACTTAATGTTTGCCCTGCTGGATTATCAACTTTCTTTGATTCGATTCACCTTTTTATCCCCTTACTGTACCTTTTGGAATGGGAATATCTGCCTTGTGTCACTGAATGTTCAAAGTATTTAATGTTCTTATTTGTACACGGACTCACAGCTAAGAGTTTGTCTTAAATCTCTGGACTTGGACTTTTCAGCAATGCTGAACTGTTAGGACTTTAGCAACTCTTTTGTACATGCGTCTTTGAGGGGCCAGGGGCAGAATATTAGAGTTTGTACCTACATGTTCCTCCAAAGCTTCACACAATCATGGGAGACAGGCTTTTCAGAGGTGACTAACTCTAGAGTGTTTGATTGATTCAAAGTTCAATGCTGGGATTAAGGGTATGAATGCTACACCTACCCTAGGGTGGGTAGTCTGCATATAAGGGACAGAAAGAGGCTTGCCTCTTGCCTCCCTTACTGCTTTTGCTGTTTTCTGCTGTCATGAATGGCTGTCCCTCTGCCATGTGCCACCCTACCTTGGAGCGAGCTATGGACTCAAACTTCTACAGACCAGGAGCTAAGTACATCTTTCCTCCTCCATCCCTGGATATTGGGTAGTTTGTCTTAGCAACAATAGAAAAGTAACCAAGACAAGAAGGATCAGTTGTGAATGATGTAAACTGAAGTAGGAACATTTCTAATTAGAGGCAACAAATATCGGTATTAGTTAATTAAGAGGTGATCTTCAGAAATTAGTTTTCAATTACATTATACAAAGATTAACCTTCATATTGACAAATATATATATAAGTTTTGCTAAAAATCTGGACAAAGTTCTACAATATTTCAACAATGACTTTACCTTAACTACCTGACCAGAACTGTTGACATAGTGATAAAAGTGCCCTTACTCCAGGGCTATGAACTTGTTGTTTGTACATTCACTCTGTATTTCAAGGAGTCATACAGTGAGGCTAGCAGCTGGGTTGCTAGAAATGGGAAGTACTGAAGAAGCTAAACACCACAACTTGACTAAGATAATGAGAAGAGCAATTCATGCAGCATGTAGATTTTTGTACAGTCACAGAATTTCAAGATTCTATTAAGAAAGGTCCTAATTTCAAATGTATGCCCTGAAAAATAAAAATTTAAGTGTCTTCTTAGTGTTTAAAAAAAAGAAAAAAAATAAGAAAGCTAAATGAAGCAGTTTATCTTGAATATGAGAAGAGAGTAAGAGAGAGAATATCTTAGTTTTATGATTTTTCTCAAAAGGAAATCATACTTTGATTTTTACTAAAGTATAAAATTTTTTGGTAACAATTCAGTTGCAGCCAGAATCATAGAACAAACTCTGTGACCAGAATCATGGAAAGAAATTAAGTTTGTAAAATGAGCTACCACTGTGTATCACAAAAGCTGAAGGTAAAGAAAGCATTCAGGATGCAGATGGGGCAGGCTAGTTGATAGGGAGGCAGAATTAGGGTGTTAGGAACTGATCTGAGTCTACAGAATACGCTCTGTGAATAGATGTCAACAGTTATACCAGCAATCACTTGGACCTCAAGCCTATGGAAGTCTCGGTGGTTAAAAAATTGAAGGCCACAGTTATCAATTCTTGTTTTCCTTTTACCTGTTCAAACATGATTATGTTCTTCAAACTTCTTCATAATACCTATTCACTATCACTTCTGCCAGAACCATGTGATAAGCTATAAATGTCTGACATATAAAGATGGATATTTGTAATTTAAATTCAGTAAGGCAGAATAGAAAATAATATTTGAAAGTCAACTACATAGCTATATAGTCAAATATATATGCACAATCTGTGAAATTCTGAAATAAATGTCACCAAAAATCAGAGTATTTCAGAATCTCTCTCTTGTTCTCTCTGTTTCTTTCTTTCTTACTCAACTCTGACTTTTTAAGACAGGGTTTACCATGTAGCCCAGGTTGGCCTCAAACTTACTAAGTAGTCCAGGTTGGCCTCAAATTTGAAATCCTCTGCCTCAGCCTGCCACATGCTGAGAGTATAGAAATACATCACTATGCCTGGTCAAGGTAAGAATACTAAGATAATAAAGCTTTGGGTAATGCATACACTTAAGGGACAGGAAACTGTCCTTGCCAAGAGCTTTATATATATAGTCTATGTTCCTTAACTTAAAATATCCCTATGGCAGTGGAAAGAAATAATACACTTAAAATGGCTTAAGATAAAGAGTTCAAAGTGGCCAGCTATGAGAATGAAATTTCTTTGAGGTTTATCTTACTAAGAAAGAAGTGTTTCTGACCCCACATTCTGTAATAAAAATGATGCTTCAGAAAAATATATTATGTATCCTGGGTTTGTATGCCCCTACTTATTATGCACATTAAGACTAAAAACCAGAGAAATATTACTTCACTTACTTATTAGGATAATCCTGGAAGTAGCTGTGATTACTTATATTTTAGAGAGGCTAACGACCCAGAGAAATATAATGACTTGTCCATAGTCATAAGGACAGTAAGGTGAAGAACTGAGATATAAATTAGGAACTGTTTGATTTCAATATCTGGCTATTTCTATGTATTTTGGTGCTTTTTATTTTAGTGGACAAAGGGAAGGAAAGAATTTAGTCAAGGCTAATTATGATATAATACAAAGACTATCAACTGAAGCACTCAGGCCCAAAGCTTGGGAGTCTACAGATTTCTGTGCTCTCGTGGAAACATTACTTATCAATAATGAAGTTGGCCAGTTTTCTCTCTCCTAGTTCTCTTATAATTTCAATTCCATTGCATAGCTTTTGACTGTTTAGCCATTTTTCAATTGCTCTTTTTTCTTCAATTTGGATCCAGAAAGAGTATATTTTTAGGTCATTTACCACACCATAAGATGCTCCATGTTTCTGCATGAGTGCTCTTGCAGCCTTGTATCCCACCTCAAGGAAACTCCCACTAAACCTTGAAGTCTTAACTCAGCTTGTCCTAAATTTTGGAAAGTCCACTTGCCTCTCCCAGGCTATTCTTTTTCCTATATTTGCTGCAATTCTATGATCCCTTACACATACCTGCATTACAGAGTTACTATATTCAAACATTTACTTGTATTTATTGCTTTGTATTATTGAATCTTTTGAGCAGAACTCGTATTTTCATGTTGCTATTTCTAGTTTATTAGCAGAGTGCCTATAATATGAGCACATATTGAAAATCATGAAAAATGAGCATGAATTTTTCTGTCACTGGGTATGGCAATAATAGCATCCTGAGTAATTTTTAGAGTACAAAATTATTTGGTACATACATGTACTGTCTTTGTTCAACATGAAAAAGATCCTTGCTTTCCATATTCTGCTCCAATAGTGTTCTGTTTTGTAGCATTAATGTCTGAATTTGATCTAGTAGATGTCGATTTTCTTCTTCCAAGTTCCCTTTAAGTTGGCTGAGCAACTGTTTAAATATAAAATCCATTTTAAAAATTCACATTTAACATAAATAACCTGAAACATAGAAAGTATTCTAATGTTTGAACAATTAAGATGACTATATACTGATCCAAATTTGAATGATTATTTTATTGATGAAAACAGTGACAGCACTGGATTACATGCTCTACACCCACTGGGTCTAATAGATAAAATTATCTGGTTTTAAACACACTGCTTTATTTTCACAACTGTACTTAATTGTCAAAAAGCTAGATTCAAATCTATGACTTCTGTTTAAGTAGCTAAGAAATTTTGGGACACATAAATTCTCAAATATATACAATGAGAACAGCTCCTTAACCCACCAAGACTATTACAAGGACAAATAACTTATGTGAAGTGTCCGGTAGTATACACAGTGCATTCTTAATAAATCTCATTCTTTCCCCAACCATCATTTTCAAGAAAGCTTAAAAATTTGTGTTTAGTTTTGGGGATTTCATCAAAGAGAGTCAAGTGCTTTAGTCAATAATTATTAGTAACAAGTTTGGGCACTTAGTAGAAACTGGAAACATGCCCTTGATAGGCCAAAAGTTTTAAGAGCTGTCAGAAAACCCAAAACAGTGATTCTCAAAATTTAGCATCAGGGCTGGGGATTTAGCTCAGTGGCATAAGCACCTGCCTTGCAAGCAGGTGGTCGTGAGTTCGATCCCCGGTACTGATAAAAATGAAAAAAACAAAAACAAAACAAAACAAAACAAAATTTAGCATCACTTTTAGAGTAGATTTCTGGGCTTAGCATTTGAATTCAGCAGGTATGGTGTGGAGCACATAGACGTAAACAGTATTAAAAAGAAAAAAGCAAGCAACATATATCCCTCACAATCATTACTCTTCTTTTTCCCTCCCAAAGAGGGAAATTTTTGGAAAATTCTCAAAAGGTAGAAAAAAATCAGGAAGAACAATGCTTACTGTGAATAATCATAACAATCTAGATCTATAATTGTCAATGTTGTATTGTGTTTGGTTTAATTATATATTATTACATTGAAATATATGTGGTAGAGTCACTGAAAAATGGAATGCATTTATTCTCTTTTCTACTTATACTTCCTTGCAATATGACTACACACTGTTTTTCTCATTAAGCAGTGGAGAAAATGTTTTTCTAAATTTTATTTTAAAGAGAATAAAACAAAACAAAGCAAATCAGAGCAGAACAATGCAAGTAACACAGGACTTAACAACAAGACAACAGGAAATCAACAGTGGCTACCATAATGTCTCTTGTTTTCTTCAGAATACAATACAATCAAACAAAACAAAATAGTATAAAACCAATGAAAATACAAAAGAATGAAAGCATTATGGGACTTCAAAACCAGGCAATAGGAAAACAATAATGGCTCCCATAATGCCTCTTGTTCTCTTCAAAATAGTTGCCCATACCCTCATACACAATGAAATCAAGTAATAGGAAACAGACTAAAACCGAGCAAAATAAAAGAGTGAAAGCATTACAGGACTTTAAAACCAGATAACAGGAAACAAACAATGGATACTATAATTGTCTCGTTTTTTAAAAAATTGCTATTCACATTATCACACGTAATAAAATCAAGCAAAACAGAACAAAACCAATTAAAAGAATGAGAGCATTATAGGAGTTCAAAACAAGATAATAGGAAATCATCATGATTACCACAATACATCCCATTACATTCAAAATAGCTGCCCACACCATCTGACACAGTAAAATCTAACAAAACAAGACAGAACAAAACCAAACCTAACAAAATTGTGAAAACATTACAAGAATTCAAAACAAGACAATAAGAAATTAACATTGGTTACCATCTTCTCTTCCTAGTGTTTCCTCTCCTATCACTTTTATAGCATCTATTGTGTTTTTGGATCCCACGAACTCCTCCTTTTTTTTACGCTGGTGTTTACCCATTTGAGTTCAAACTGTTTCACCAATGAGCATGACCTCTAGTTGCATTCATTCACCTACAAGAGTTTTGAGATTATCCTACTTTATAGCTGGGGAGCTTTCCATTGTGTGAAAATGTCATATCTTTCTTATCCATTCTGTGATTGATGGGCAAGTGCCTTTGCTTTTTTTCTGGTCTCCTGTTGCATGGAATAATAGTTTTACTCTCCTTTGATTTTTCTATGAATTTCCTTTTTAGTTAAATGTGTTTCTTGTATACAGTATATCGATGGATTTTGTTTCTTGATTTACTCCCCCTGTGTTTCTTTTTGTTGCTCATCTGGGGCCATCTGCATTAATGGTTACAACCAGCATACATTGGTTTGTCTCTGCCATGTTATCCTCTTGCTGTTGGCCCTCCACTTTTCCCCTTCATTCAACTGACTGTCCTGTTTGGTGACCCTCCACTACTATTTTCTTGCAATATGATTATTCACTCTTCCTATTAAGCAGTGGAATCTATTTTCCCTCTTCTTGAATGAAAAAGTGGAGTGATTATGTGGAAGTTCCTAGTCAACATCTCAACACCTCAAGAGGCTTTGTGTGCTTCCGGTTTGTCTACCAGACCGCTTTGTAGAGAATGAACAACCAAGGGAAGAGATATTCTAGGCAGCTTCCATAGAGACTAGCCAGCTCCTCAGCATATCTAACTTTAGATGCAGCAGTAAACTCCTCCCTATATAACAGTAAGGTGGACTGGCACATCTGCTTTGCCAACCACAGACTCTTGAGCAAAAACAATGTTTATCACCTGTGTAGTTTTATGATTGTTACAGAGCATTATTATGTCAAAAGACAACTAATGAGATAAACACACAGAAAAGGAGAAAGAAATTAATACAGCTAAATGAATTATCTCAAAGTTAACAATTAAATGAGCACAGAAATCGAAAAACATTAATTACATTCCAGAAATACTGTTACACTAACCTCCAGTCACCATCTCTTCCTGAGTTTAACTACCATAAGACTTCTTACACCATAATTTATTTTTCAGCCTTTGCCCAAGAGTTAACGCTTGACCCATACTGTGACAGAACTACAGATGGGTAGCAGTCAGGGCTCATTCTGGTCTCTCCTGGGCAGCCTTCCAGACTACCAGTGACATGTGAGACTTTCTCAAAATTCACGATGACTCTCTCATTTCTTGGAACTCCTAGATTTCTGACTAGTTCACTGGTCTGTGTGCTTCAGTACTATTTCAACCAGCATGCTGTTTGAGGGTTGACTTGATAATTTTCCTAAGCGTGGAACACCCTGCCCGATTTTTTTGGATGTGTGTATGTGTGTGTATTAGCGGAGGCTGAACTAAAGGCCTTCACACTGAGCTACATTCCCAGCCCTTTTTTGTTTTTCAGTGTGAGACACTCTTGCTAAGACATTAAGTTATTCAGGCTGCCCTCAAACTTGAGATCATCTAGCCTCAACCTCGCTGAGTGGTAGGATTAGACATGTGCCACCACATCAGGCTGTAATGGTGCTTTTCTGTGCTCTGCTCCAAACAAGTCAACCTCCTGCAGTAGCAAAACTGCTAATTTTTATTAAAAAAAATTTTTTTTTAGTATTGGGGATCAAACTCATGACCTCACTCACACTTTCCAGGCAGGCAACTTGTGCTTCTGAGCTAACTCCCCAGCCCAGCTGCTGATTTTTAAAGCTTGCCCTATGCTCTGTCAGAATGGCCCAGTAACTGAACCATGGGAGGGGAAGGGAAGAGAAACTACAGTATAAAAACACTGCAGACAACCAATGTTACTCCTAAAGTGGAATAGTTTTTCTTTAATAAATGCCTCTCAGCTTAAATTCTAGAGTCCTAAAATGGTTATTTTTGAAATTTATGACCATTTATTTTTTCTTTCAGGAGTTGATTTATAATGTCCCTCAGAAGTATACCACCTTAACTATTATTTTATTTAGACCATTACAAACTGTTCATAGGATGAATGTTCTGAACTTTCTGAATTATGCTGGGTAAATTATATGTTTTTAAATAATTTTTTTCTATTAGTTTATAATTTAGATTTTAGAATATACAACTGTTTTCATTAAAGAAGCACAAATTTTTATAATTTTCTGTGTATTTGGTGACATAATTTAAACTAATAGTAAAAAAATAATGAAATTAGTTATACAGTTTTTCTGAATTGTGAATCTTAATGGTTCATGATCAATTCTTTTAGAAGCACCCCATTAAGTATATACTGCAATTGCTATTATAATAAAATTTACTTTTCAGGTATGTTTTGATACTATAGGAAGGAAACAGTAATTAAAACTCATTGAAGCTTACCTCACACTGGTTATTCAGCTTTGTGGATGTGATATCCAGTTGTTGGTATTGTTCCTTTAGCTTTGAAAATTCAGCTTCTAATCGTGTTTGTTCCAGTTTAGAATTATTTAGGAGACTTTTCAAGTTTTTGTGGTCAGTCTGTAAAACTTCGGTCTCTTTTAAAAGCTGACTATATGTATGATTCAACCTATATTTAGAAACAGTGACAAAAATAGAATTAGATTTGGTTAATAGCATTAGTTGTACTTACATAACATGAAAATGCTATAAATAACATTCAAACATACTTAAGAGAATAAAAAGATTTTTTTTTTTTTGTCTTTTTCGGTTTTTATCGGTACCAGGGATCAAACTCACGACAGCCTGCTTGCAAGGCAGGTGCTTATGCCGCTGAGCTAAATCCCCAGCCCCTAAAAAGATTCTTTATTAGTTACAAATCTTGAGGACTGTTTGTTCAAACCAGATTTTAAAACTTCTAAGTACTTTTCTAGAAAAGAATTATTTAGCTTTAAAATAATGTTGAATAAATTTACTATGTAAAATTTAAAGTATTAATAAAAATTTTTAGATGAGTGGTTTCCAACCTTTGTGGCACCATGGACTGGTTTTGTGGAAGACAGTTTTTCCAAGGACTCGGAAGGCTGGGGTGTGGTTTGGGGATGACTAAGGTATATTACATTTATTGTGGATTTTATTTGTATTCTTACTAGATTCACATAGAGAGTGTGCCACCTGGTTCCCACACATGGAGCCTTTCATAGCAGGGTTCATGTTCCCTTAGGAACTAATGCCTCCTTGATCTGAGAGGAGACAGAGCTCAGGTGGAAAGGGAGCGATGGGGTGCTGCTGTAAACAGGGACGGAAGCTTTGCTCACTTGCTTGCTGCTCAACTCCTGCTGGGAAGATTGGTTTTTAAGAGGTCACAAACCAGTATCAGGTCAGAGGCCCAGGAGTTGGAGCCTCTATTTTTAATTAAATAACAAAAGAGCAGATCAGTCCAGTTTTGATTTCACAGAGAATTCAGATTCCAAAATTGAGTAACAAACAGGAGATCAAGAGAATAAATAAACCCAGATGAAATACTGTCAGTGTGCTGGCTGACAACTGATACATATAAGTTTAACCAAATTGTAGTTGTTGACATTTTTACAAGTGTAGAAAATTATTCCTATTTATGTTATTCCCAGTTATTATTTTACAAAATCAAGCTATAGGTTTTTGTTCCCAAATTTTACCTTCAAAACAAGAAAAGTTCATTGATCCCTAAGTTAAGGTCCTTTCTATGAAGGACCACAGAATACACACATAAGGCCCTGAAGACCATAACAGTCTCTGTAGTATGCTTTTTGACTCACATCCCACCATCTCTTGACAATTTAAAATTTTTTTTAGTTTGGGGGCTGCATTGAGAGAAATCACAAGCTGGATCTGGCTTACTGCACTGGTTGGCATCTCTGTATTGTAGCATTCAGTTCAGGAACTCACAGAAAAGGGACAACTACACAGAACAAACTCTTGTTCAGGATTGTCCTTGTTTAGAGTATCTAATAGTTTACCTCAATTCATTCCTTAAAGAATTTAACTCAGTTTATAAAAAATCTTGAATACTGTTTTTTTTAACAATCAAAACTTGGTTAAAAAGATAACTAAAATGGCAAAATTAGACATACATTAAATAGGCTGAGTCAGTGAATGAATGCGTTTCATGAGTCAGACGTCAATTAGACACATAGCTGCAAATCAGATCAATAACTATGACAATCAAAAACTTTCCTTCTGGTTTGAGGCTTTAACTTAGTAGCACAGGCGTTTGCCTAGCAAGTACAAGGTCATGAGTTTGATCCCCAGTACCAAAAAAAAAAAAATTCCTACTGATGTTTCATGATTTGGGAGAATAGGTAACACAAACAAAGAAAATAACTACCTCAATGTCTCTATGGTAAATGCTAAATAGAGCTGAGTTTTTCATACTATCCTTTAAATCTTTACTACTAAACTACAAATTCATTAAAAACAATTCTAAGTGAGTTTTTCATTTTCTGAGGCTTTCAATTAAAATGTAACTGTCCTTTGACAATTAAGACCATCAATGCATAAGACAAATAGAATTATAAATAAAAATAACTAGCCTGGCAATTACTAGGCTGCTCATTTGTAGCAATTTCAACAGACAAGAATTAGGATATTAGCCAAGTGAAAAGATAACTACATTCAATTAGATTCTATTTCAATAAAGTATTTAAATTTCATTGGGGAAACAACTTTTATGAGTAATATAACTTGAAAACTTAGTTGAACAGAAAAAGAATAATGAGGAAACAGGACAACTAGGTTTTTGAGTGATTCCCTAACTGCATAACTTTGTTATATAGCTTGCTTATTATCTGGAGTTTCTTTTTGAGCCAAGCTTTCTATGCAATTCAGACTGGCCTTGAACTTACTTTGTAGCCCAAGGCTGGCCTCAAACTTATGGCGATCCTCCTGTCTCTGCCTACCAAGTGCTAGGATTACAAGTGTGTGCCACTATGCCTGGCTTATCCCAAATTTTAAAACAAATCTTTTTTACTACATTGAATACATTCTACTTTATATTTTAGAATTTTCATTCAAAGTTAGAGTTGGTAGTACAAACAGGCAGCATATATTTCAGATACAAGGAATACAGAATTAAAACATGTAAATATGTTACCTATCATTTTCACCACAAAGTTTCTTGTACTCTGCAGCTACCGTCTCATGGTTTTTATTTTTAAGCAGCATTTTTTCCTGCTCTACTTTAAGCATTTTTTCCAGATCTTCCAACTGTCCTTTCTGTTTTAATAACTGATTGTAACTGGGGAAAGAAAGTTAAATATGAGTTTATATTATTTTCAAAAAATTTCAGAAATAAGACTAATTTATCAATACATGACACAAAACACATGAATTTATATAGATTTCCTACATAAACTGCCTCTAAATGTATTTAACACAAAAAATTTATTTTAGTACCTGAAGAAAATTTGTTTTAAATTAACAACACCACAGAATATAATAAATTACCGGTCTTCAAGGTCTTTATGTTCTGCTTCAAGATTTTTGTGGGCGGACTTAAGAGTTCCGTGTTTAGAGATGAGAGACTCATATTCTGAAGCCTGCCTTTCATGAAGAAGTTCCAGCTTTTCATGATCTTTGATAAGCGAATCATAGAGAGATTTCAAATCTTCTCGTTCTTTGATTATAGATTCATTTTCATTTTCTAAGGAAGACTGTTGAATTAGGAGTTGTGCATTCTGGTTCATAAGTGAGGTACTTTGTGAATTAAGAGTGGAATTTTCAACCTGTAAGAATACATATTATTACCAGACAGAAGAGAAACAGTTTGTATTGTTCTTTTAAAAAAAAAAAAAACAAGAGGTTGTAAAGTTAAAAATTTAAGGAAACTCTAATGAGTTTATAGATTTACTCTTATTATACTGGGAAAGTCCAATAATTTATTTTCCCAAAGTATAAGGTGACCATTTAATTTTTTATTTTTGGAGATATATATATATACATACATACATATATACACATATATTTACATATATGCATTATATACGTTTTAGGTTGAATTTGTTTTAAGTGAATGTTATCAACAACCACTATTTTGGTATTCCAAAGAATTTAAAATACTAGTTTATCATTCTAGAATTTGGGAGTTGATACAACTGAAAAATTTTATTTGGAAATTTTCTCAAGTTCAAATTAGATTAGTCATTGTTTTTTCACTTGGAAAAGGGACAGAGAAGGAATCTCCTTCTGCCCTATCAGTTTTTATAAAAGAAGGATCTTTTGAACTAAGGATAAGACTAGTAACAAAATTCCACTAACGGGTAAGAAACCAGTTAAATGAAATAAATAGTACACTGCAACTACACTGTAAAGCAAGGGCTTCTGTCTGATTAATTACAGTAAGTTTCTTAAAATGATGGAAAATTATCATTAAATAAAATCACCTTTAATTCTCTGTATTGTAGGGTGAATATTAGTATTTAGAGGCTCTAACATGTAAAAATGCTGATATTTGACAGTTTGACAAGGAAATTAAGACATTTTCATTTATTCAATTAATCATTCAATTCACTCACAAAGAATGATTATATGACTACCCTCCCTTACTTTAAAAGTATAATTCAAGAGTTTGGCATATCCCCAAAATATCACATTACAACCTGAAGATTGGCATTCTGCGTCTGAAGAGTGGTATTCTGTTCCTGTAATGACACTGTCTGCCGCTGAAGTGCAAGAATCTGTGCCTGCAAATTATTATTCTGGGTTTCAAGCTGCTTCAGTTGAGTTTTCAGTGCCTGTTTCTCTGCTTGTAGTGTAGCATTCTTTAAAAAAAAAAAAAAAGGCCACAAAATTAAAATTAAAAAGATACCAGTATTTGGCTTAATAAGCATTTATACTATTATGATTAATATTTTTTTTAAAATTCCCCCTTTATCTCAAATCAGAAACAGATTTTCACCTAATAATATACTAAATCTTTACTACTGTGTTCATACTGTCTGCTTATAACGTGCCACAAATAAAATATTCAGCATAAATACAGTTATTAACACAAGAAAATAGAGTAAGATAGTCAGATTCATGGTTTTAATACTGTTCAAAATATGAAGCAGGGTTGTATCCACCCAAAAGGGATTGCCCTTTGTACTTACCCAAAGCCAAACGTATACATTTCCACTCACACAGGTGAGTGGAAATTCCAGAAACAGTAACAAAACTCAGTATTTTCCAACAAATATTTGGAGGTTTACAGAAACAATCTTAACTCTGTTTAAAATGTTTAGCCCATAATAGATCTAACAGATATTACGTATTTTTAAAAAGTTTTTATTAATGTTTTAGTGTATGATTGTATTTATCATAGAAAGTTGGTACACACTTAATTCTGTTTATTTCTACTTCTCTGCTTCTCCTTTACCCTCCCCTTCATCTCTTGATCCCCTTCCTATTTGGAAAAGATCTATCTCCCCTATTTCCTACTATGTCTTTTATTTTAGTCTTTACTTATATTTTGGGTTTCTCATGTAAGAGAAATCATGTGATATTTAAGCTCTGATTTCACTTAACATTATGGTTTCAAGGTACATCCATTTTTTCTACAAATGACTCAAATTTGTTTTTATTTATGGCAGACTAATCTCTGTGTGTAATATCACATTTTCTTTATTTATTCATCTGAAGGGTCTATATGTAGTTTCCAAGATGTAGCTATTATAAAATGTACTGCTATAAACACATATATGCATATATCACTGTAATATGGTATTTTTAACTCTTTCAAGAAGACCCTTAGAAAGCTTAAGCAAACCAGAATTGCTAATTTTAGTTTTTGAAGAAACTCCATACTGATTTCCATGAGGGTTGTACTAGTTTACATTCCAACCAAAAATAAAGGTTTCCTTTTCTCCCTACACCATCAACAGCATTTATTGTTTCATGATAGCAGTTCTTTCTAGAATAAGATGAAATGTCAGTGTTGATTTGATTTACATTTTTCTAATGGCCAGAGATATTGAACATTTTTTCATGTATTTACTGGCCATTTAATGCCTTCAGAGAAATGTCTACTCATTTTAGTTTCCTGTTTTTTGACTGGGTCATTCAATTTGAGGGGGTCTAGTCATTCTGCCTCTTTATATATTCCACAAATCAGCACTGGCAAAATTTTTTCCATTCTGTTGGCTGTTTGCTGGGCAAAAATACTTAAATTCGATATAATCATATCTGTTGATGTTATTTCTTGTGCAACTGGGATTCTGTCCAGAAAATCCTTGCCTATGCCTTTCTTTGAGAGTTTTATTTTAAATCTTCAGGCAGATTAAAGTGTACTTGGTTTAATATTTATTTGATCCACTTTGATCTTACTTTGGTATATGACAGGAGATATTTGTCTAGATTCAATCTTCTACACATGGATAGCCAATTTTCCCAGCACCATTTGTTAAAGAGGTTATTGTTCCTCAAATATGTTTTCTGCCACTTTATCAAAAGATCAGATTGCTAAACGTGCCTCGGATTGTTTCTATATCCTCTATTCTGTTCCACTGACCCACATGTCTGTATAGGTGCTGGTACTATGCTATTTTTTGTTACTATAGCTTTGTTAATACAACTTGAGATCAGGGATTGTGATGCCTTCTGCTTTGCTTTTGTTGCCCAGGATTGCTTGTGCTATCGTAGGTCTTTTCTGGTACCATATGAATTTTAATTAAGATTATTTAGTTCTTATTTAGTTCTACAACCACTGCTGTTACTTTGACTGCATTCAATCTGTGTATCTGTTTTAGTATATAGCCATTCTGACAGTATTGGTTTTGTGTACCCAGCATCAGGGGATATCTGCCCATTTTTTGTTGTCTTTGCTCTCCTTTTTCATTTTAGGGTTCCTCACTTTCTTGGTTAGCTTAGTTCCTAAGCACTTAATTTTCTTCATGCTATTGTGAATGATACTGTTTTCCTAATTTCCGCCTTGGTGAATTCATTATTGGTATACAGAAACACTACTGATTTTTGTGCAATGACAGTATATCCTGCTACATTACTGAATAAGGTTATTAATTCTAGGCATCCCTTGGAGTTTTTTGGGTCTTCTATGTAAAGAATTGTCTCATCTGCAAATAATGATAATTTAAGTTCTTCCTTTCCGACAAGTATACCTTTTTTTTCCTCCTTTAGCTTTACTGCTGAGCTATTATTATACTGAACAAGAATAGTCATAGTGGACATCCTTATCTTGTTCTTGATTTTAGGGGAACAATTTCAGCTTTTCCTGATTTAATACAATACTGGCAATAAGTTTATCATAAAATGGCTTTTATCAAATTGAGGCTATACACACACACACACACACACACACACACACACACACTCGTATATATAATATATATGGAATTCTTTTGGATTCTCCATTTGTGGAAGAACAGGTTTTCAAAGTAGTTACCTAACAATCTTCAAGATTTTGTGGTATCTATTGTGATTTTGCCTTTTTCATTCCTAATTGGATTGTAAGGATCTTATCTTTTCTTTTTTAGGTAGGTACGCAGCACATGGGACCAAGAGTGTATCTGTATTATTTATTCTTTTGAAGGAACAGCCTTCAATGGCTTCTTTTCCCTTTACATTTCAGTTTCAGTGATTTCTTCTTTGATGGCCCTTTCTTGTAGTGGCTTTGAATATGTATTGTTCCTATTCTTCTAGGATCTGGAGGTGATTAGGTTATTTAGGATCACTCAGTTTTTCTGATATGGACATTCACAGCCATAAACTTACTTCTCAGGACTGCTTTCATTGTGTCCTATGGGTTCTTACTACGTTGAACTGGCATCATTTTGTTCTAGAAATTCTGTTTAACTTCTTCCTGGATTTCTTTTGTGACCCAGTGATTATTCTAGAGTGTATTATTTATTCTTTTTGTTTGTATAATTTTTATGTTTTTTTCCACTGATTTCTAATTTCATTGTGCTATGATTTGATAATATGCATGGGGTAATTTTAATTCTTTTGCATTCACTTAAGCATGTTTTTTACTGGTCTGGTTTTTTTTTTTTTTTTGTCTTTTTCCTTTTTATCGGTACCAGGGATCGAACTCACGACTATCTGCTTCCAAGGCAGGCGCTTATGCCGCTGAGCTAAATCCCCAGCCCCCTACTGGTCTGTTTTGAACAACAGAATTTTGAAAACTCTGAGTTTTTTTTTTGTCTAGTTGATCTATTTGTGACAGAGGAGTATTAAGGTTCTCTGGGTGACTCTATGCTATTATTGTTAAATTCTTTTCTATTTTTAATGATGATTTAGTTGTGGAATTAGCAGATATTTAGAACTATGTTAATGTTTATCTTTTATGTCTAATAGTTTTTGTTTTATGAAGTTGGGCCACTACTCACTACATTTATGTTTTGAATTGTTACCTCTTCCTATTCAATTGTCCCCATTCCTGTTTTCTTTTCTGTGTTACTGACATAGGAATTCACCATGTAGTTCAGGTTGACCTTAAGCTCACTTTGTTGCCCAGGATGGCCTCGAAATCCCAGTAACCTGCCTGTCTCAGCCTCCCAGCCTCCCCATGGCTGCCTCTCTCAGCCTCCCCATGGGATTACAGCCATGTGTCACTATCCTCAACCAATTATTCCTTTAATGAATTTTTTTTTTTTGCCTCTTCAGATCAGATTTGGTTTGAAGTTCATTTTTTCTGAAAATAAGATAGCTACTGCCACTTGTTTTCAGGATCCTGATATATGGAAGTTTTCCATCCTATGGATTTCAGTCTAGGAATTTATTTTGGGGTTAAATGTGTTTCTTGTGTATGGCATACCATTTGGGTTTTTTCTTGATCCCATCGTTGATCTATGACTTTTGATTGCAGATTTCAGACCAATTACAGAATTACTGTGAATGGTACTGACTTGTTCCTTTCACTGTCTTCTTGTAGCTAAATCTTTTTTTTTTTTTGCCATGCCATTTGCTTAACTACTGACTCTATATGGTGTATTCTTTCCATTAGACTTTTTGGCACTGATGACCTCATCGTCTGTTTCTAGGATATCCTTGACAACTGTTTTGGACTGCTGGTTTCATGGTCATGAATTTTGTTATGTAGAACCACCTTATAACTGCATCAATTTTGAAAGATAATGTTGCAGAATATATTAATCTGATTTGTCAATTTTCTTACAAGGTTTGAAATACTTCTCTCTTCAACCCCTCTTGGCCTTTAAAGTTTGTGTTGAGATGTCTCCTGTAATTCTAATGGATTTAATTTAATTTTATAATTTTTTACTTTAATAGCTTTTAAGATTCTGTCCTGTGTCAGACTTGTGGGATTTGAGTGCAATGTGTTGTGGAGTTATTCTTTTCTGGTCAGGGATATTTGGGGTAGTATATGTCTTATTTATCTGAATATGTTAAGTTCTTTCCTATACTTGGAAAGGTTTCTGAGAACAATTTTTTTTTAAAGGCCGCATGTGTTGTCTTCTGATTTTTCACAAATTCCAAATAACCTTAGCTTCATTGCATCTTCTAGCTGCTGGATTCACTCACGCCATGCTCTTGTTTTTAAAGGTATCTCTAAGTATATGCTAATCTGTATGAATCGTATCTTCTAGTTCTGACACTCTGTCCTTAAATTACTTCTAGTGCTTACACTTTCAACAGAAAATTTTTTATCTCCTGGATTTGATACATTTTGTGAACTCTTTAATTTTCTGCAAACTGGTTCTTCATATTTTGTATCTTTTTTTTAAGCTTAGCTAGCTTTTTATCAGTGTCATGTATAAGCTATCATTTTATCAAGTTATTGTTTAATTATATCATCTTTGTGCTCATC